AGATATTATTTGATCATCACAGCCCTTAAGGAATCTCAAATTTCTTAGGAGGGTAAAGGAGTTTTTCCTTTAAACAGCTGAAAAGAACCTGATTTTTCTTTTGAGTAAGTAGAGAAAATAAACCTGAGAGAGAAAGCACATGATGAAATTTTAACTCAAAAGAATCTTTTCTATATTTTAATATATAACAAAACCAGATGAAAGAAAGCAAGGATGCCTGCCTTGTCCTCGGCCTGACCCCCAGAGGCATTACCATTAGGACTGAGGAAGCTCTGGGTGCTCCCTGGCACTCAGCAGGCTCTCAGGAAGCAATTAGGTGACTTAAGCAGAGGTAAATTGCAAAGCCACCGTCCAATCCTCCAATCTGATACCAGGAAACATTTCATTCTGTTTATTTAAAAGATGTCAGCTTTGTTAGTCAAATAATACCTGTTATTTCATACGCCAATAATTCAGATTGTGTACTTGGGTAAACGTTTATAGTCCATGAGAAAGAATAAGCATGAGGGCTGGGGGTGTAGCTCAAATGGTAGAGCTCCTGTATAAAGCACAAGGTCCTGAGTTCAAGCCCCAGTTCTGCCAACAAAATAAAAAAAGTATGATGAAAGAATAAGGGTGAGATTTCTGTAGAGCTATTTAAATTGCTCCAGAGGCCAATTTCTAACTGGTAAGGGACTTCCTTTTGCCTGCCTAAGCCATATCCTAACAGCCCCTTCCTTAGCTAAGAGCCTCCTGAGTTGGCTTTGGAGAGCTATCCCTCCCTCAACGGTTGCATTCTCGTGTTTAATTAGAGAAGGTATCTGGTCTTCTCTTGGCCAAGGAAAGAGTAGGGGCCCCAGTCACACCAATCAGACACTTTTCCCTCAATGGGAAACTTGTGTTTTTTGGCAGTATTGATGCTTGAACTCCAGGACTCACGCTTATTAGGCAGGCGCTCTACAACTTGAGCCATTCCAGCCCTCAACATGGGAACCTTGAACCAAGTCCTCCAAGCACTGGAGGTGGAATGAGAGATTTACTGCTGGTTTGCTCTGGGTATTTGTTGCTAGTCCCTACTGCTGCGCCCCCCTCTCCCAGTTCAAGTCTTCTTCCAGACTGGCCTTTCACTGTTCCCCCAGCCTTCCAACATGCTCCTCTTTCCCATGAGTCAGCCAGAGATGCATTCTATTGCTTGCAACCACTGAATCTCCACAAGTGCACAAGTACTCCCCAACTCTTTATTGACCAAACAACAAGACACGCTAATTCCAGGTAGAATTGATCCAGTCACAAAGCAGATTTATTTATTTATCTATTTTTGTGATGCTGAGGTTTAAATTTAGGGCCTTAGGCTTGTTAGGTGAGAGTTCTACCACTTAAGCCATTCCTCCAGACTGGAAAGCAGAAGATCCAGTCAGAGCAGGCCTGGGGTTTGAACACAGGGCTTCACTCTTGCAAAGCAGGTGCTGTATCACTTGAGCCACACCTCCAGTCCATTTTGCTCTGATTATTTTGGAGATGGGGGTCTCACAAACTATTTGCCCGAGCTGGCCTTGAACCTTCATCCTCCTGATCTCAGCCTCTCATGTAGCTAGGATTATAGGTGTGCTCCACTGGAGTGTGGCTAAATTTTTTTAAATAATAAAATGAAGCTATCGGGAAAGTTTTCTCTTATTCTCAATGGCCTCCCTATAGTCTCTTTCAGTCTTTGAGTACAGTTTCATTTGAGGGATGATCAATTAAGGGGAAGATTCTCTTCCTATCAGAAAAGAGCTTTCAGTTGAGATTATACTACAAGGGAAAGAAGTGGGCTTTTAGCCAGAGTTCCAGGTGCAGACAGCTAGTAACTCACTGTGAAATCAGAGTCAAACAACTAATGTATCCAGAGCTCTTTTACATCCTATGTTAGAAGAAAAAATTATAAAAAAACCCAAAAACCTAAGGTAAAGAACAGATAAGATAGTGCACAAGGGAGAACCACCATAAGGCAGTGATCCCACCATGTGCACTTCCACATGCCAGCTCACCTTCACCAGGGACAAGGGACTTCCGAAAGGTGTCCTTCAGAGAGCTGTGCCCATGCAGGAGTCTGTGGCTGGAAGAGATGGCCACATGGGAGGTGCCGTAAATGGCCTCAGGGGTGGCTGTGTATGCCATCAGCTTTTCTCCTGTGTCTTGTCCTTCGACCTGGTGGGAGGAAACAAGAGTCATTTCATGTCTCAGTCTTTCCTTTGGGCAGTGTGGTTCCTCAGCCACACCCCCTGGCTCTTCCCTCCCTGCCAAACAGTGGTGACTCTTCCTGACCTCAGGACAAGGGAGGGGAGGGGGGAATGAGACAGGGCCTGGCAAGTGCAGAGAACAGTAGGGGTGAAGAGAAATAAAGTTCCTCTGTGAGACTCCCTCCTCCAGGGCCCACCACCAGGCACGTTGAGGGTCTCAAATTGAAAAACCAGCTTCCTGGTTCTCTTGGCTCTTGGGTCTTTCGTTCAATCAAAAATCACTGTCAGTGTTATTTTATTTTTGGCCTGAGGGAAAAAAGAGCTGAACTTTCCTTTAAGTGTATAGAAAAAAACAAAAAAAATAAAAATCTCATTTTTCTAACCAGAAAAAGTTACTGAGGTTGTGAGTGTTTTGAAGAGAGAAAGATAGCACATAATTATGTCCTAGAACTGGTTTCAATGCCTTTTAAGGAAGAGGAACACATTACACATCAACTGAGTGCCAGTTATGGGACAGACGGACATAAAGGACATAGGCACTACTTTCTTCCTCCATTGACTCAGTCACACTGACACAGGTGAGTGCTGAGTGCCAATTATGTGTTAGCTGCAGAGCCAGGCTTGGGGCCAGAGAGGAACAGCATACACTGCCCTACAGGATGAAAATATTCCCTCTCCAGAGACAGTGTGTGCCCCATTCTCATTTTCAGGTGTGTCCAGGATTGGATATGAAAACACCTCCATAATGAAATGTTGGGCCCCGGAGAGAGTTTAGAAGATATTCTATGCCCAGGAGCCCAGAGGCTCAGAGATCCACATTCTCCATCCTGGTTGAGAAGCAAAGGCCCTTATCATGGGAACCAGTCTCGAGCTAATGCACAGACCCTTCTGCAGAGAAGGCCTTGCAAGTTTGCATCAAAGTCACACTGGACCGAATTTGAGAACACCTGCTATCTTCCCAGGAAAGCAGTGAGAGGGAAAGCCTGGTCCAGGATGCAGCTGGTATGAGCTTGGATCACTTGGTGAAGGGGAATTACAAACTCAATGGTGAGTGACAGGTGCTTGCAGACACCAGGTATGATTGTCAGTGGGAAAGAGTCTAGAAAGATAGGCCAATCTTGTTTCTTGGCTGCTGCTTCCTCCTCCCAAAGGTTTTGATGGGCACAAAGGTGAAGGCAGGGTTTGGAGTAAAATGAATGGAGCACAAAGTCTGGATTAGAGAAGGAGAAATGTGCAGGATACAAGAGGACACCCAGGTAAGAAAACACAGAACAACTCTCTGTCAGTAGAAACAAAGAAAAATATTACAGGCACCTTTAGAAATAGGTAGCCTTAAGTTGTGACCTTTCAGCAGTGTTTCCACAGCAGGTCACCAATCCTTAACAATTCTAAGTTTGTTTAGTTTAAAAATGAAGTTAGCTTTGTAACATGTACCCTTCCAAGAATACAGTGAGAGCTACGAACCCACCGTTCAGGAAAATGCCCACAGCAACATTTTGCACACAATTTCAGGGAGTTTGTGGGCCCCCAGGATACCCTCTGTGTGCCCTCTGCACTGGATAGCCAAAGGCACTACATGCCCACGGTGCCCATAAAGTGTGGCTTTATGTGCTGTAAGAATAGAATATGGTGGATTTTGAAGACTGGACTAAGACGTGAATTTATAATCTTTTTTATTGATGCCATCTTGAAATGTTAATATTTTAGATAAAAAGGGTTAAATAGAATGTTATTAAAATTACCGTCACCTGTTTCTTTGCACTAAAAATATGTGGCTACTAGAAAATTTAAAATTTAAAACTGATGGCTTGCCATCAATGACTTTCTATTGGGCAGTGCCACAGTGGAGGCCAAGTTGCTGGTTTATTCAATCAATGAACTCCAAAATGCAGAAGGAGATGTGTGAGCAGGAGTTGCTGGAGATGCTACTGCTTGATCACCTTTAATGTGAAGTCCAGGTGGCAGCCCACACAGTCCCCGATCCAGTGGGCCTGCATGCCCTTTATGCCATACCACTCTGGAAGGTCCGCCAGTGCGTCTTTCATGGCCTGTGGGAATGAGAGAACGGAGAAGTGGAAGCAAGGAGCTTAGTTAAGAGAGAGCAAAAACTTTGGGGCTGGTTAAGGTAGGAAAAGTGAGGACACTAAAGGAGATTCAGGATTTTACCCTCCCTTCATTCAGGTGCCCGAGTCGGAGGAGGCCAACAAAGGTCAGAAATGATACACTGATCACAACTCAATTCAGTGACATGTGTCTGGCCAATTTCTTCATTCTGAGGTTTCATGGACAAAAAAAAAAAGAAGCAAAGAAAGATCATAATTCACATCTCTGACTGTGTCTCATACATCCTTTCCTGCAGTCTGGGAACTAGAGAAAGAAGTTCCTGATCTGCAGACTGGCTCCATCCTTGACTGTTTCCTGCCCCAGAAAATTCGAGTGGACTGGGTTTCATTCTGACAGCACTCACATCCCATCTATCCTCCTCCTGCATTACTGAGCCACTCCTACAGAAACTCTCATTGTGTTTTTTCTTCTTGATTGACTTGTCAAGGCTGGAAAACTTCAGGTGGAGGTGCTTTGCTAAAAATATTCAGATGGAGATGAGGACAAAAGATTCAAAAAGGTTGAAATGTGGATGTTTTCATATGCTAATCTTAAAAAGATGCCTACTTAGGACCCAAGCAAATCTACAAATATTTTTAAAAACCAAAAGGCATTTTAAAAATTGACCAAATGAAGCCAACATCTTGAGCTACCCAAAACTCTCCTGAGTCTGGCTGCGTAATCAACACATTATCCATGGCTGCATTTTGATAAGCAGGATTTGAGAAGCCACTACCCACTCTCCAACATCCTCTCCTTTCTCCAAGCTGGCCCAGACCCAGCTCCACCAGAACAAGAACATGTGGGTAGCCACAGGGCTACAGTTGTTCACACTACAAAACTGTTTTTGTTTGGGGGGTTTTGTTGAGATTTTGGGAGTGCTGCAATTACACTGTCCTGAGTCAGTACTGATCTCATTTCATGTTCTTATACTTGGCAGGCAGAGTTGGCAGTGCCTCTCCTCCCCATCCTGACCAACCCCAATTTATAGATATCCTACAGGCTTAGAGAATCCAAAAATTCGAGGAAACAGCTGGTTTTTAGATTTTTTAAAAAGTGCTGTGAAATCTCTTTTCAAATAAGATCTGAGGAACCCAACGTGTCAGAGTTGAAAGAATACACCTTTCTCCTGGCTCTTGCCCCTCCCCACGGACACCCCAGGCTTGGTACCATTTGGAAACCATTAATTTATTCAACTTCCCTCATTTTACACGGGAAAAACACCCTCGAAAAAGTCATGTGATTTCCCTAAATTTACTCAACTAGTGAGCAGCAGATTCAAGATAACAAATTGTTCAGATTTTTTTTATTGTTCCAGGACCACTGTTCTTAGTTTTCAGGTGTCTCTGTGTAAACTAAAGACAGCCTCTTCCAAATGCAGAAATCAGAAAGTAATACTAATCACTTTTTACAAGGAAGTACTACATTAACTCATCTGAAATAACACTGTGACATTTCCCTGTGTTTTTTTCTTAGCATGGGGAGAAGTACTTGGTTGGCAAAGGGGCCTCATAGTCATTTTTGCTAGTATAGTTCCGAAAAGACAGCACTGTTGCTTTCTAGTATGCCACTTGAATGAAGATGGTTTAAATTGTGAGGCAGGCTACGTTAAGGATAGTCTGGGGCTGCTCACCATCTTGGCTCAAGGGCTCCTCCCCCTAGCCCTCAGGTGAGAGAAGCCAGGTGATGACAAATTGTCACCCCACCTCCAAGTTCAAGGTGGTATAAAAAACGACCTACCAAGAGACTTGGGCCCTTCTTCTTCCCTGCCCTCATGTGACTCCCCTTCCCTCAAAAAAGTATTCTACTTCACCCCATCCAGGTGCTCTGCTTAGAGTCTTCCATTTGGAGCACCAGGACCAAGATCTCCTGAGAACAAATGCCATGGTTGCACATAATAAACCTGAGTACGAGCCAGTGTTTAAGAACATGAACCAGTAAGAGGTGGACTGAAGCACTATCCAGTCAAAAGGGCTTTCGTAAGACACAACGTAATCAGGAATAAGAAAGAGAAAGATTAAAACTAAAAAGCTGGAGATAAAAAGAGGATTAACTATAACATGGCCAATCTGGTGCTCTCTTCAAAGCAAAAAAAAAAAAAAGGCTAAGAATAAATCTACACTTCCCAAGAAAGGAACTGGACAGCTAAAGAACAGTTGTAATGTGACCACAGTAAGAACTCTGGAACTGGTTTAAAATCACAATCCACTTCAGGAGACCTGGGAAGAAGGTGCTTGGGCAAACAGAACAGCACAGATGTTTCCAAACAAGATTTATTAGATACTAAGGACAGAGTTGAGGGACAAAAGCCCTGCGAGCTGGGCCCAGATTTACAACAGAAGAGACAAGACTTAGTGACGACTTCTAATTAAGCAGATGCTTTTAAAAAACTTAACACTTAGAATACTTCTGAATCAGTGTGATTTGATTAGCAATTCTTTTTTAATTAGAATTTGTATATACTTTTTCTAAAACATATTCTGACTGGCAGGTTTCTTTATTTTTCTTTGTGGAATCATTTCAATACAATCACTTTAAAGATGGTGCATATTTGAGTTTGAAGAAAGGAAAACCACTTCTGAAGGCAGTTAGATGTTTAAAATTCTAGAATTTCCCTCTAGAATATTCTAGAGCAATAAACTTTCATTCACACCTCAGCTATCTCTCCTGCTCTATGACATGAAGTTGTGTGTGAAGATTTATGCATTATAAAAAAACTTCATTTGGCACAACCTCTGCCTTGTTTGAATTTAGAGAAGACATAACACAAATATAGCAAAGCCTCTCTATGACAGACCTACCTTAACCTCTCTTTAAAATGTAAGTATTTTCTAGTAATATCCATTTGCTGTGGCATTTCAATGCAAAACATTTATTTACAAATACAATTGTGCTACTCAGGAGTCTCAATGCCAGTGATGGTTGTTAACCCCGCAGGAAAGCAATCAGCTCTGAGGAAGGCACCCTGCTGCCCTGCTGAGGATACAGGACTTGCCAACAAAGTATGGATTTGTGGGGTTGCAGGGGCAAGAGGAAGAGAGGCACCAACCGGCTCACATACATCAGGTGTGCATCTCAGCTATGGGAAAAAGAGGGACATAAAATAGCTCCAAATAAAAGGAACTTAACAAGGCCAGGTGTGGTGGTGCACACCCGTAATCCCAGCACTTTCGAGGCTAAGGCAGGAGGGTCCCAATACATAGCAAGACCTTGTTGCAAAAACAAAAGGAATTTACACATGCAATATTATCAATGATGCTAGGAAGGATGGGTTTTCTGGGTACGACCATCAGGGACCACATTGCCTTGTATGAGAAGAAGAGTAAAAGAACCCAAAACTAGGTATAGTGGTATCAGATCCTAGCTACTTGGGACGTGGAAACAGAGGACAGAGAGTTCAAGGCCAGCCCTGGAAAAGTTAGTGAGACTGACCAAAAAACAAAATAAAGGGCTGGATATGGTGACTCACATCTGTAATCCCAGCTACTTGGAAGGCAGAGATCAAAAGAATTGTGGTTCTGGATCAGCCTAGACAAAAAGTTAGTAAAAACCTAGTCTCAATCAACAAGCCAGGTATGATAGTGCATGTCTGTAATCCAAGTTCCACGAGAGGGATAGGTAGGAGAACTGTGGTATGAGAATGGCCTATATGAAACATAACTAAAGCAAAAAGGGGCTTGGGGCATGTCTTAAGTGGTAGAGTACCTGCCTAGCAAGTACAAGGCCCTGAGTTCAAACCCCAATATCATCAAAAAAAGAAAAAAAAAAGGATTTCGGGAAGCTCTGGGGTTGGTCAGTCTCACCACATCTGTGCGGTAACTAGGGCCATTCTGAGTCCAGTAATCCCACCCTGCCAGCAGCAGAACCATTCTAATCCCAAGAGACGGTGACTGCGGGTTCTGAAATGTCACCAGCACACTCCAAGAATGTGGGTGACAGAAGCTAAACTCTGCCAATGGCACGGTATGTGCTCAATGGGATGATTTCTTTTTCTGTGGTGCTAGGGATCAAACCCAGCTCTTGCAATGAACTACCGCTGGCCCCACAGGACCACCTCTATCACTCTCCACCCCTGGACTGACTGTGACTGCAACCCGCAGAGAAGCACTATACCTGTGGCACTGGGCTATGCTTTCCGGGAAAGGTGAGTCCTGGTCTAATCATGAAAACCAAATGGTGACCACAGTCCTAGAGGACACGCTGTTCATTACCTTTAAGTTGGAATTAAACACTCCAAGACACTCAGGTCTAAAGAAGATGTGTAAATAATTGATAGCATAAGCCTAGCATCAGGTTGTTTTATTATCAATAATGGTAGTCAGTTTAGAATACTTCATTCTCTATCTGTCCATCCTAAATATAGCCCATCTCCCACTGATTCTAAGATGCAGTCATTCGTTGTTGTTGTTGTTATTATGGTTTTTTTTTGTTGTTGTTTTGTTTTTTGAGACAGTCTCTATGCCAGCCTCAAACTCACTATGTAGCCCAGGTGGCCTCAAACTCAAGATTCTCCTGCCTTAGCCTCCTGAGTGCTGGGATTATAGTATGTAACACTATACTTATCTAAGATACACATTTTTTCCCCACAAACTCTGAACTTGGGACATGTCTTTCAATCAATGGTGTCTTACAATTGATCAACAGCATTTTCCTTTTTTTTTTTTTGGCGGTACTGGGACTTGAACCCAGGGCCATCACACTTGCTAAGCAGGTACTTTGCCACATGAGCTACTCCAGAGACTCAGATGAGTCTCTTCTTAGAGATATATGTATTATATATCATTTAAAAACAGTGTCAGACTTTGATCCATTTGAAATCTGTTACATCATATCAGATTTTTTTTTTTTTTTGGTAGTACTGGGGTTTGAACACAGGGCTTGGGAGGCTCTACCACTTGAACCAGTCTGCCAACACATTTTTCTTTTTCTCTTAGTGGACAATTAC